ACTACAAGAATTAAGAGAAATTGAATTCAAACGTTTGGTTAGTGGTGGTCATTGAACTGAGTAATTATCAGCGGCCAAGGAACTTTTATTTTAATTAATGAAACCTGAGGCTTTTCGTCCTATTAAATAGCATTTTCAAAGTTTAATTAAAATACTTTCAAACGACATAGTTCAATACTAAATATTCGCAATATTAGTGATATTAGAAAATAGACGAAGAAAAGACATAGATATAATTCCTCTTTTTGATTTACTACGTGACAATATACAATCTCGATGATAAAAACTCCAACACGTTGTAATCCAAAAAGCCTAACCAATGTCTTAAAGTAAAATCGATCTTATGAGTTCAAATACAGCTTATTAGAATGAATTCTTTATCCTATTCTGATTTTAATACCTGAGAATCTTTCCTCAGCAATCTCACTGTTGTCATCTGTTTTCTCGAAGCATTCATTATCGATGCTATCGACATTCACTGTTTTGCTGCGATATATACATTTGCAATTATGAGATACAATAATACCACACGCATACCATTTATTGTGTCGATCTGATCTGCACATCTTGTTGTTTCAGTCACTGATATTTGTTATTCACTTCAAAATAGAATACATTGATTAGTTGTTGAATATTTCGGCAATGCTGATAGCAATCGATGTCGAATTATCACTGTTTTCTCAGTTAATGGTGAAAAATCAAACTCGATAGCTGTCAGTGTTGCCGAGTTATACACAAAGCGCATTCTTTTTTGAGATAAACAGTTCGTTATTGCTCTTTTATTTTCTTTCTATTTCTGATAATACGAAATATAAAATCCGCTAATAATCAAGTGAGATCATAACTGATTTGATCGTCTAATGGCTAACGACAATGATTTCTCAGCGACAAAGCTCACATTGAGCTACGTTCACAATGCCTCCTCACATCCTTATTTATACAAGACTATCGCTCAGAGTTTTGACGAACTCGCCGCTCAATATCCCGATCATGAATGCTACATATTCGCAGGTATTTAATAAAATCATACGAAGATTTGATTTTTTTCACAATGAACTCTATATCTAGATGCAGATAAAAAATACACGTACGCGACAATGAAACATGAAATTGATTGTATGGCATATGCACTAATCAAACTTGGTTTTCAAGCGAACGATCGTCTTCTTATTGCTTTACCAAATTGTTCAGAAAGTGTCGTTCTTATCTACGTTGCTGCAAAACTCGGTCTTGTCAAGGTATGCATATTTAATTTATGACTGTTTGTGATTGAAGACTAAGAGAATTTCACTGATTGATTAAGAGTTTCTGAACCTTTATAGTAGATCACAATTAGGTCAAAGCTTCAAATAGATGTGTTATTATGGTTTTCGTCTTATGATATCAATCTGCTAAGTTTCCAACGATGTTACCGTCTAAAACATTTGTTTCTCTAACATCACATACAAGTTAGAAGATCATAAATCTTTCAACTATGATCTAATAGCATCAGTAATTTTCAGATTTTTCAGTGAAAAATACAGCGAGTTGACGAATTGATAAAACTCGTGTATCTCACTCAGCGTTTTGACGAAATATTTTTTTTTTTCAAATAACAATTCTGACGCTTAGAGTTTTTGATGCATATTCGATCTCGCTATGACAGCTTCATACCAGAAACACTTTCAGTTCAGTTTGCTTCTATGATCTGATGAAAAGTCTGTGCTGTGATCATTTCGGCAGATTATGACTTAATATGAATCTCAAATGGTTTCAAAATATCGTTTGATAACCAAATATAAATAAAATAGTTATTGATATTCGGTCAATCATTCTAAGACATGTCACTAGGTTCTTAGATGGTATTTGTCGGAATGTTTGGACTTGAAGTTTGAATCCACATCGAGCAAAAAATATTAAGTCAAATTTCATATGAAACAGAATTTTGGTAACTATTACTTCACAATAATTCTATCAAAATGATCGTCAACTATTTGAGAGCGACAAACTTTGAGTTTTCCATGATGAATTACAAAGCTGATTGTTGACATTAAAGATACAACCCTAGAGAAAGTACTGAGTTCAGGGTACCCATGTACTGAGAAAGGCCTAGCAGGGTACCCAATATGGGTACTCCAAAAATTCTCAGTAATTATACTGATGTAGGTACTGAGTGTGGTTCCCATAAAAGTACGCTCACTTAAGAAGTACTTGTATGGGTACTCGCATCTGTAATCTTACTGAGGCAAGCTATACAGGGTATCCTATATTTGTCGCGTTCTGTGTAGCGACTATTCATTCACCGTTTTCTTCTTCACGCACGGTTCCATATAAACAACTGAGTAAGACATAAGAAATTAATTCATTTTCATACCAATTTTTTCTATATTATTTCTTGACTATTTCTTAGTCGAGAACATGCCGATCTTGATCGTAGATTAAGAGCGGACTACTCCAAAGCGGTCTGATGGATACCTGGCCAACTCAAGTCGGGTCAGATCCCGGGATTGTACCTGCTAAGTTTTCGGAATTGAAAAAATTAAATTAAATAAAATCGAAAAAAAAATGTAGTAAATTGCTTTGAGAGAAACAAAAATTAAAAAAAGTTAAAGGTCAGGTTCGATCCTGAACATACTGAAATTTTTGTAACAGGGTACCTAGAAATACTATACAATAGTACTCAATTGAGTATCTGATCAGTACCTTCAAGTACCCAGTTACTACACATTTTGTAGCAGGGTACTTGTTAAAGTACCACTTAGGTACCTGAAAGTACTTCCAAGTACTTTGATACCCAAAAGTTCCTGTGACATACTGGTAACAGGGTACCTTTTCGGGTACCTTTAACTCAGTACATTCTCTAGGGTTTCTATCTTTTCCCGTCCACTCTATTGTTGGTGTTTAGAATTACCCAATCAAAAAGTTATTTTTCATTGGCTATTTTGTCGCTAATTGTGACCGTCGTGCATACTTTAGCATATTACGATCACTACATTGCAAATGTGAACGTAGATACGTCGCATTGAATGCAGTATATCTGTCTAACGTCAACTACAACTATTGCGTCACAGAATAGCCACTACGCGCAACCGCGGCGCTACTGTTAAAAAAGTGGTGATATGAAATTGTTTCAACGTCTTAGTGTTACAGACTTGACTTTTAAAAGTAGAAACGAACTATTGATTGGTTGACATGACCCTGACATCGTTCTTTTTTTCTCAGGTAAACGTAGATCCAAATGCTGTGGCACATGAACTGGAACACATTCTCAACAAAATTGACTGCAAAGGCATTGTGATGGTTTCAGACGATGTCACACTTGAAACATTGCAAGAGGTTGTACCTGATTTTGATCGTGGATCATCTCAAAATGTGCCAAGTCTCAAACATATTATTCTAACTGGATCAAACAAGACTACTATGCAAAATGTACATTCGTACAATGACTTGATCAAACAAAATGAACCCAAAGAGACTGAGGAACAAGATGCACTGGCTGCACGACAAGCATCGATTGACCCCGATTCAATGCTAACGATTTTTCTGACATCGGGCTCAACAAGTGAACCTAAAGCGGTCGCTATTACAAATTTTGGAGTGGTCAACACTATAAGGTTCCATGTAGATCATTTTGGACCGTTGTTGTCGCGTCCTTGTGCACCGCATTCTATGTTTCATATTAGTACAGGTATCTGGACTATCCTAATTGTCGCAGTGGAAAAATGCACTGTGGTTATTCCCAATGCTAAGTTTGATGCAATATCAACGATGCTTACAATTCATCAGGAAAAGTGCACAAATATTATTGCTTCACCTCTTCTTTTTCGTGACATACTCGCACATCCAGATCGACATAAATACGATTTAAGTTCGTTGAAGTATGTTGCCCTTGGCTCAACACCTATACAACCACAATTTTTGCGCAAGCTCGAGACGGAACTCAGTATTGATCGAGTAGGCCAAGCGTACGGGATGACAGAGAGTGGATGTCTTCTCACAAGTTCTCTCTACTGTGACGACAATCGACGATACACGTCAATTGGTCAATGTATACCACACATGGAGCTCAAAATAGTTGATGATAATGGTCGAACCGTTCCGATTGGATCTCAAGGAGAAATTTGGGCTCGAGGCTATGCAATCATGCGTGAATATTACGGAGATGATGAGGCAACATCCGAGACAATTACCGATGCTGGCTGGTTGCGAACAGGTGATTTGGCAACAATGGACCAAGATGGATATTTGTATTTTGTCGGACGAAAAAAGGAGATGATCAGTCAAGCTGGACAAAAGATTTCCCCGGCTGAGATTGAACACGCTATTGAAGAACACGCAAGCGTCGCCGAGGCTCATGTCTTTTCAATTCCTGATCCTCGAATCGAAGAGGTCATATGCGCATTTGTGAAACTGAATTCGGGTATGCAATGCGAAGTCGATGAACTCAAAACCTTTCTTGGCAACATGTTGAGCGACTACAAGGTGCCTAAACACATACGTTTCGTCGACAAATTTAGTCGAACATCACTGGGCAAGGTGCCAAAGTTCAAGCTAGCTGAAGAAATGACCAAGATTTTGAACGAATAAGTTTTATGTAAAATGTCTGATGTCATGAAGGGTGTGGGATATGAGTGTGAGTGTGAGCAGAAAACGTAATCACCACACACTCACACTCCCACACACCCAGACCCAGACCCAGACCCGTACACTCACCCACCCACACCCTGGTTATTTTAATTATTAATATATTATCTTGTTATGATACCGTGCGAGGATCTTAAAAACACTTTTGCAGATTTCCTTAAGATATATTTTAATTTGTAAAGTTCTACGAACTGAATACTTTCCTTTCGATAAGATTTTTATATGAGATGTGATGCATAGATTCTATAGTATATGAAAGTAACATCATTTATATAATGAATGTCAATCGAAATTTAACTTTTGAAGAATCATTCTATCCTTCAAATGAATCATTACTTACTAAGAATATTAATTTCAACATTATAACATATTTGATCTTATTTTGAGCATACTGTACAATTAACAGTATTAACCATAAGTCTAATAAATTCATCATAGACTTTATCATCTAATTTCCATATTGATCGTTCATTACCATCAATTGGACATACATTATATAAACAACATGGAATAGAAAATGCTGGTTTACTTTCAAATTCTATAGGTAATTCATAAATATTATTTATTAAAATGCGTTCTTTATGACCAATATCAACAAAATAAACACAGACGTTTGATAAATTAGCTTCAGCATCTTTTTCAGAAAAACACAACAGAGAATTACAAAACAAACGTTTCTTTTTTATCATACATAATATAATAGCACGATGCCATAAAGTACGACTATCTTGTAAAGCAATTGCTTGATATTTCACCAATGATGATAATCTCTGAAGATTTTGCATCGATTTTTGTAAATCAATTTGAAACTATTAAAATAAAATTTTATTATTTACACTTGTATGAAAATTCAATTTTCCTTTTAGATAAACATAAAAACGAGTTGGACTTATATAAAAAAGCATACAAATTTCATTTCGTCGAGTAGAATCTAATATTTTCATCGGAATATCTTTAGGAAAAGAGAAAAAAATAATAAATATATCAATTTTAATAAATATACGTTCATAAACATAATGATCATTCCTTTTGATACTGTTCTATTTAATAGAAAAATAAATTTGAAAATCTAATAAAATTTAAAGTTTTATTATACCAAAATCTTTATTTACTCTTTTCGTTGATCCTTTTACACTTATTTCAACTTCTGATATTTGTCTTATTCCACTATAATTAGGTAATCGTGCATAAAGATTTGGCCTATTTAATTGTGCATGAAATTTATCAATAACGTTTGATAGCCAGCCATTTATTGGTCTAATTATATTTGATAATGTACAGTGATGAGCCAGACGGTATATTTGAAACATCCACGTCTAATAAACAAAATAATTATGCACAACAGCATAATCAATTTTTCGTCAACAATTAACCTTTCATGGCCGAAGAAATTATACACGAATACGTTGTACGTCACCATAATCTATTCGAAAGATTGTTGCAAAACCATTTGAATCTAATTGACAAACTATATCACGATCCGAATCTTTATCATTTATTGCCCACCTCCAATAAAACGGCGTCATAAATGGCCTGAAACGGCTATAAAGCGGTGACTAACGACGTAAAAAGTCGATAAACGGCGCCATAATCTCTCATATCAGACTACGGAAGCAAAACCGGGAAAACACGACGGCCATCTTCTAGCGATAGAAACTGCTCGTAATACGGTATGACGGATTACGGCGCAATAAGACCAAAATTAATGCAATAATTCTCCGTTTTATAGCCGTTTCCGGCGGCCGGAATGATGCACAATAATCACTAACGTGAAGTATTTCATTTAATTGTGCAGATGTTTTATTAATAAAACAAATTATATTTATTTAAAAAAAATAAATATATTACATACGTTGATTCTTTCGAAAATGCTTCAGTAAATTGTGAAGCAAAATTAAAAATTTTCTTGTACGACTCTGATGTATATAAATAAAAGTCTATAAAGAAAAATTATTTTAATTAAACGAATATTTATTAGAGAAATAGTAGTAAACTATTTAAATCATTAATATGACCAGGAAAAGCTCGCGCCTCTGTACCAATAACAAAATTTGAAGGGCGAATAGCATCAACATTATTAATTGCCATTGCTATATAGTAAAATGAATATACACGATAATAGCTAGGGATGTGCAGTTTCAGTTTACTGACCACCGACACAGTATCCACTGGAACACTGACACACTAACTACTTTTGATTGACTAAAATTTGTACACAGAGTACTTTACCATTACTGTAAAAAAGACCTAGAATAATAAACCTTACAAAAGGGTTTATAGCCACCTAAATTCTTCGTCAAATTCTCATAAACTCTAGGATTTATGAAAGTGAGTTGTACTGAAAAAGAGTTCATGAGAATTTGGCTAAGAGTTTAGGTGGCTAAAAGACCTTTTTGTAGGGTTTATTATTCTGCACCTTTTTACAGTAATAGTAAAGTACTTTGTATATACATTTTAGTCAATCAAAAGTAGTTAGTGTGTCAGTGTACGGTGATGTGAATTCATCAGTGTTATCAGTGAACGTCAGTGTCAGTAACACCGATAACAGTGTTGCCAGTGTTCCAGTGGATACTGCATCGGTGACCCTGACGTCAGTATTTTAGTACTTACACTGACATTACACATCCCTAATAATAGCTCATTCTTTAATCGAAAATATTTGTAACAAATTAAAATTCAAAAGGGTAAAAGAAACATCAGTATGAAGAACAGAAAACAACCTATTTGAAATTATTCACTAAATCGTTTGTTTTCATTTCTTATTCTTTTTATCGATCTGTCTTTCTAATACATAATTCAACAAATAACAAAAATTATATATTATTTGCAGGAGTCGCTTCATTAATGGTTTTACCTAAGAAAAACAATCAAATAAATATTCAGAACAATACTTATATTTTTCTGAATACTTAAGAAATCATAAGGTTATACACATAACTGGAAAATTTCAGTGTGAAATCTATTTTTCTATTAGTAAAATCTTTGTTTCGTATCTTCACATCTCAACGCTCCATCGATTCTATTAGCAACTTTTTTTTGTTTGAAGTTCTCTGCTTTGTATTTTTTTTCAATTCCGAACTAGTTTTTCCTACCGCATAATAGAATACAAGTTGATTGAAAGATATTATTTAAAACAATTTAGTTTCAAGGCACAATTATATTTTGATTCATTTTTTTTATCAATAGCATCTTATTCGGTTTCTTCGCTCTTATATATCCTAAAAATACTCATATTTTTAAATAAAATAACATTCATTCACTATGTTAATATTTTTATTCCGCAAAAATCAATTTTATTTAAAATAACAATTGACAATCATATAAATCATGATCGAATATCTGTATGAAAAAAATAGTCTCTGACATGTTTTTCAAGTTGAGTATTATATTTACTATAGCAATAAATTATTTTTGAACAATTGAGTCGTGTTGCATCTCGCATAAAATTGTCTGTCACTTTTTCAAGTAGTTTACGACTGACAAAAAGAAATAGATTATTTATTAAGCATGTTTTTGTAGGAAGTAAAAATTCTTCAAGATAATCTTCGTCATCTTTAAAAAAAGCGAAGTTCAGTAAGATGATAGTAATTAATAATTGATAAATTTTCATCATAATTTTTTGATTTTCTACGTCTTTTATTTATTTGTGCTTTATGATTAGTTATAGTTAACTTTTTCATAAACTAAAATGATTTTTGAATTTGAAAAAAAAATTCATGTTGAAATGAATGTTCATCAAATAATGATACTTGATAAACACATTTAAATAATCCATCTGGAAAATGATTTGTTATTTTATTATAACATTTCCATTGATATGGATATGAATAAATATGACATTGATTATATCTGCTTTAATTAAAATCATCAAGACAAGAAATTATTTTATTATATTTAAAATCTTTGAACGATTGTTGAATATCTTCATTTGATGACAAATTAGTTTGATTATAACAACTATTGAATGATCTAATATTAAATCTAAATCAGTTTAATCATAACAGATTATTAATAATATTTGTCTTTAAATCATTACCATCAATAAATGTTTTTCTAGTAATAACGTTCAGGTACAAATGAAGTTTTTCTAAATTTGACATTCGATGTAAAACTGATACAACGAAATCATTATATAATTCTGTATCTATCTCACAATACAACGAAAAGCATCTTAAATTAGGAAATTTTTCCTAAAAAATTCAATAATATTTGTTCATCTCCATCAAAGATATTATTCAAAATAAAATAGTTTATTATTGATTGTTTCATAGGGTACATAAATGAGTGTTATATAAACATAAAGTGTATGAAGTTGATTGAATCGTCCATCAAGTAAATAAAGACAATCAATAAAAAGAGGCATACCTATATGGAATTCTGATAGAGTTGAAAAGAAAACAGTTAGAGGTGAAGTATCAAATGATAATTGTTGACATTCAGTTAAAGATGGATCGAAAGTTAAATATCATAAATTGGTAAACATAACACACATATGTGTGAATATAAGTCAAATAATTTCTCTTGAATTTGCTTCATCACTTTCAGTAATATCGATAACAAGTGATGGAATTTGATTTTTAAATCTATAAATTAAAGTTTCATCTAAACATACATTGAAAACTATATTTAATATAACTTCGATTATAACATAGATTGTTTTAGACTTTTCCAATTTATTTTTCAACATACAAATCTAATCTTCTACTAGATTTTCTCATTATTTATTCAATGGTATCAATGACATATTTCTAGCAATTAAATAAAACTATCTTATCAGTAAAGAGATATTTAACTTTTTGCATTTTAAGACCATATAAATTCGAGTCATTTCCAGAAAGAAGAATTGTATTCATAGTTAATGGTTCAAGATTTAGCCATTGAATGTTACGATCAATTTCAGGTCAAATTTGTGAACAAAATCAATGAAACATTGGATAAGGTAATGAGCAAATGCGACCATCTCCAGAACAGTCCATCAACGTTAACACACTAGGAAATATTGAAACATGTTAAATTTTATTTAATCGTTTATTAACATCTATTAAAGAGTAAAATGCTTCGACATTGTGCAGTTGTTTATAAATAATCATAAGGATTTCATCAGGTAGATCGGTTAATTGAACACATAAATATTACATTTTCATATTTTTCTTTTTCTATACTGTTTTTAACTTATAAATGTCAATATATATATATCGGGTGTTGCAAAAGTTTTGCGATATATTTTCTTTTGCATATATCTCGACTTGATAAACTGATAAAATCTTGATTCTTTTTTCAAAACATGCACCGTGAAAAACTCTACAAAAACTGGATAAATAAATCCTTATTAACTATTTCTGATAGTTTTCCCAAGCTGAATATGAACAACCTCTGTGGTAGTGCTGTGTTCCTACATTAGTAAAAATTTTTGGAAGACTTTTTTGTTTAGCAGTAGGATTTTTTAGAGAACTTGTGTAGAGCTTTCAACGGTGCATCTTTCAAAAAAGAATCAAGATTTTATCAGTTTATCAAGTCGAGATATATGCAAAACTTTTTGAATGGCCGATATTCTAAAATAAATTATTTAAAGGTTGTATCTAATGTTGAACATGTGTTGCATATATTGACCAGCGATATCTGTTAATGAAAATAGAGTAAATATATTTCGACATTGATCTTGAAATGTCATATCAGATCGATTTCTTCTATCATTCAATTGAAATGCATTTAATAAAAATGTTGTTATACTACGAATTGATAGACTATCTAGAGAAAAAAAAGAACAGATGAAATCTTGTTTATTTTTCAATCTTTTTATTATTGTTTTGCATTAGTTTCGAAAATATTTTCTTTGGTTAAATTATTTGTTATTTGTTGATATTGATGATTAGATTGATTTGGTGAATTAATTCAAGGGTAAAAATGATAGCCACATTTTTTTAGATTGCCTTTTTTATAAACAATTAGCAAAATTATATAGATTCAATATAATCAGGTATTATATCTCAATGTTCGAATAAATCAACTGGAAATAATGATAAACAATAATAATTTAAACAAAATTTTAATTTATTTATATGTTGATAATCTTATTTCCAAAATAATCTTTGTATAGACGTGTAAAATGAATTAAATATTGGTTAACAAAATAATAACATTGCTATACAACCTAAATCATCTGATAAAAATATGGTCTATATTTTATTTTATTTTTGTTAAATAATAAAGATGATCAAGATTATTAAATGATAAAAGTAATAATTATGTAAATGGTCAATTATATGGTTCAATTAAATTTAAATATGATTCTAATAATAGATTTTATTATTTATTTTATAGAATTAAACAATGTCGTTGATAAACATATTCAAATATTGATAGTATAGTTTTTTCAACTAAGAAAAGACTTTTTTCAAATATATTTATATAAATGATTTTCGATATAAATATTATAAAACATTATAAATCATCTGTATTATCTAATGAGGATTGTCATGTTAATTCAATATGATTTTCTATTCTATAAAAATAAATTTATATAGAAACTATTAATGCAATTAAATATAGTTGATTATTAGAACACAATAAAAGAGTTTTTATATAAATTCTATAAAATGTTGTTTCAATTTTATTGAAATTTATTTCATTTGATATTAGTCGTTGTCTTCCTAATCAAAAACATAGATAATTGATTTTGTTAAATAAATAGATCTATTCATCCACGGCATAATGATGGAATATTAATACCAAGAACAAGACAATGAGCCATTGATAATCATACGAAGTCCTTAGAAGAAAAAAAAACATTAGATTTTTTCTTATTTTATCAAGTCAATATTCATTTCTATGATAATCCTCCTAAAAATTTTATGCTATGGAATAAAAAACTAGTGTCTTGAACATGGGATGCAATGGTGATAACGGTGCGGTTATCTAAACATGTATGTCTATATACGAGAGATGTTTTAAAGAAACTATCGTAATACCAGTAAGTTTCTAGCGATGATAAACATCTCTAATTTAGACTAATGGTGAACGTATGATTAAAATAGGATAGTCTAGAATTGATTTAGATTTTTTTTTCATTGGAGAGGCCATTCTGAGGA